AACAGAGTCCTACTTTTTTGGCTTCAGTTCTCAAACTTGTCATTTGGAAGATGATTATCAAAAGATAGACTCCTTAAAGAGCAGTTTTAAAGAGATCATTCGAGAATAGGCATAGCCTCTGTTGACGATGACCAAATCATTTTAGAAATTCATGTTTCTCCTTCTCTGTACAACAGAGTTGACAGAGCACATTGAAAGGGGCTGTTAAAAACTCTGGGTACGTGCAAGTGGTGCTCATTATTAATTCTTCCTCTCTGTTCCTTTTCTTCCACAAGAAAGCAGGGAGAGAGTATTTAACAATTCGACACTCTGTCTCCTGCTAGGGACAATTGCTTGATTTCTTTGATTGTTCATGCATTTCTTGAATTAGATGAATTTCTTTGTATTCCACCCCTGTCTTTTCAAGACAGTGATTTCTTTGGCTAAAAATACAACAAGACATGATACTCATTCGCATATAAAAAGTAGATCAAACCACTTTTTATTTTGAAAGCTGTTGTTTTGGAAAATGTTCTTTGCAGTTTAGCATTTAAGATCCCCACTGCTGGGTTCGCCCCACACGAGGCGGGTACCAGTTCCCGTGAGCCCCGCACAGCTGCACCGCTAATGCCAGAATAGAGGTTCAAGTCAGCTCAGGTGGTGCCTGCAAGATCTTAGAAGTTCAGAGAATCCGAACAAAAGACAATGGCAACATTTCCATTTCACTGAGGGCTGAAGCACCTCTTAGGCTGAGATGGTAATGAACTCACCAGATGTACCAAACCATTTAAAACAGCGAGCTTCCTGAGCTGCCATGAGTGGTGCTTGCTTTCTTGTAAGACAGCAGGTCCGCCCACCGGCAGACACGATATTAATATTGGTGAGAAATATCAGTCTCTCAGATACTTGGCTCCTTTAAATGAAAAAAAGATTGTTGAAGATCTATAGGAATAACATTGTGATGTGTATAGAAATAAGATGCACTTGCTAACTAGAAAAGGCGCTGGGGTTCTGCTCTCAGTCAATGGGGGGCACCTGTGCTATTATGCAGCGAGTGTCTGTGTGTGTGTGTGTGTGTGTGTGTGTTCTGATCTGCTCTGAAGTGTAGTCCCCCTTTGTCCAAAAACAGACTTGAAGAAAAGTAACAAATTAAACTCAGTATCTCACAGAACCTCATCAGCAACTACAGATGAAAACAGGACAATGATTAGTGAAGTGAGTAGGTAGTATTTATTACTAGACACACAGAACTGAGTACTCATTTAGTGCTGAGTTTCCTGGCAGGAAAACAAATAGGTGTGATTATATAACTCTCATGACATGGAAACAAAAAACAGCAAAATCTATCTAGAAAAGATGGAGATTTTTCTGGTAGAAAATCCCAGCATGAACTTAATTCACAGGACCTTCTATGGGAGGCGCTAGGTCGCATAGTGAGGCGTGTCTTCAGCTAACACAGGTGCACTCACGGGATGATGTTTTAAATGTCCACCCTCTATAAAAGATGAACACATCACCCAAAATGTTTGGTGAAGACTGTCCCGAGGCTGCCTGTGTCCGCTTTCTGCCTTTGCCTCGGTCCCTCAGCTCACCTCAGAGAAAGTACGAGAGCATGCCCAGCGGCAAGCGTTCCAGCTGCTGCCTGACCTCACTGCTGCCTTACCTCACTGCTGCCTTCTCTCCTGTCTGCAGCAAACTGTATTGCTGATTAAGGAGGGTGCTGGTCTGAAGGAGGCAGGCTTAGCCTTAGGCCTTCAAATTTAGGGACCCAATCTCCAGGAGAAGGGTCAGTCCACCTCCACACAGAATTGGGCTTTGGGGGGTTGCAAGAAGCACCAACTTATCTTAGAGGAGCTTTAGCTTTCTTGGACAATGGAGTCCCAAGGCATGGAAGGAACTAGTTTGTATCCAAAAAAATGTAATGTTATTTTTTAATTGAGCAAAATAGAGGCAGAGTGTGTATGCTAGGGGGCATTTGGAAAGCAATTAAAAGAAAGAAATTAGTTAGAGCCACCAGCTGTTTAAAAAATGCCCCAGAAGCCTCTATTTGTCTCCTGCAGCCAGTACCCTGAGGAGGCTTCCACCAGAGGTTTAGTTCTGCCAGGAGGGTGGGGTACAGCACAGCAGGACAGTGGTTCAGCGTGGCTGCCCAGCCACACGGCCCCCTCTGCATCCAGCAGCTGCCTCTCACCAGGGAAATCAAGCCCAGCCAGGGGACAGTGTGTGACCCCTGAAGAGCAATTTCCTCAGGTTCCACTGGTCCTGGAAGGGACATTCAGCCAAGGTGGGTTGGAACTTGGCACCTTCAGTTCACCTCATCTCCATATCTAAGAAGGAGCCCAATGCGGCCAGCATCTGCTCAGGGGAGCACCACCTGTAGCTCACACCTGTGCACTGAGCGGTTCCCCAACTTGTGCTCACTGACCACCAGGTCCAGTGCACGCTGCACCCTTCCTCGGTGCTGTCAGCCTCTGTCAGACCAGGGCGTGTGGCCAGGGCAGGGCCAGGGCAACCAGCGGGAGCAGCGGGGCGTCCAGAGGTCCCACCCAGGCTGCTCGGGGTCAGTGATAGTTCTCTATCAAGCATCTGTAATGAAAAGGTTGCACTAAATGCACAGTGGGACCAGGCAAGAAATAAGGGAGTCAGGCAGCCGGGTTTAGGCACACAGGCCCGGTCGTGTTGGGGCCAGGGCTGGTGACATGGACAGCAAATGCCCAGGCTCCAAAGGCCAGCTGGGCCCTGGCTGGTGTTGCCCAGTGTGAGCAAAGGCCCAGGACTGCCTGAGCTCCTGGCTTTTTAGGAGAGGCTAGAACTTTTAATTTTACTTGAAATCTGGTGAATTAGAATATGGACTTGGAAAGCTTTATTTTTCTGAGAAGAGCATTGGGCAGCTCAAACCAAATACATCTGCAATGTGGTTGCAGCTTAAGGTCTTCAGTTTCAACTCTAATTATAAAGCTTTGCCTTACCAATCGCCTCTTTACCATAAAATGACCTCAGACGGGCCCAAGAAATTTTCAGATTTTTGACAGAACTGACTCTTGGTTTTAAAAAATAATTTTCACCCCAGTGTCAACGAGCTTGTTAAATTGACCTGGTAAGTGGGATTGGCCAGGATTCCCTATTAAATTGGTTAAGTTTTTTTCTTTAAAATTCATTCTAATGAATGAATATCAGGGGCTATTTCGCTGCTTTCTTGTAGTTATTATTCAGTTTGCTCACTTTAGAGCTTAATTTGCTCAATTTAGCACCACATTTGTGGACTTAAAGCAATGATAGTTACCACATTTGTTTACTAAAATGTCATAGTATGAAATCTGTATTTCTGGATCACCTAGTATGCTAACTGATGCTGGCTGTGGGAGATGGTAAAAGCTTTCTTCAGTTTGATTTCATTTGGCTTGGCTTTGATTCAACTATATACTTGAGTAGTTGAGTTTTGTGATTGTTTACATTTATTAAGAGTAACATAAATATTAACAGTATTTACAACAATTGTGCCATGCATTGTGCCATGATAGAGATGTTTTATCTATATGTATAGAAAGATAATTTAAGCTTCACAGATCTCTTTGCAGTAGCTCTCATCATCATCGTTTCTACTTTGTAGACTTGGGTACTCCCCGAGGTTAAGTGACCTAAATAACTTACCCTAGCTCCCGCATTCAGCAATTAGTGGAGCCCTCAGCAAACCTCATAGCCTGACTCAGAGCATGTTCTTCGCTGACCCAAACCTGGTAGCCTGACTCAGAGCATGTTCTTTGCTGACCCAAAGCCCAGCGCTGAATTGCCAGCACTGGCAATTCATTCTTTCATTGAATGTCAAAAAACAGTTATTACCTGGGATGCCACGGTGCTCTGAAGGTCTAATGTCAGGAAAGAACAAAATCCAAAGCACATTGGAAACATTCTTGTATCCTATTTCCTCTCTCCTCTCCCTCTTCTTCCTCATTGGAATCACTCAGACATGAATTTAGAGAAGAGTCTCACTGAAATTCACAATTTGTATGGGGTTGAATCACATAATGAGTGTGATGCTCCCCCCCTAGAGACTCAGGGTTCACAATTCTTCATCAGAAATAGATGGGAAAAAAAACTTCTTGCTATTTCTTAGTTTAAGGGAACACATTCCCCAGTCCTTTCTAGAAGGGGAAGAGACCAACCTGCAGCTTCTAAGTAGGCTGAATATTGGTTAATGGAGAACAGGTATGGTTTTTAATAGCTGAGTGTAGGGAGAGTAATATGATTTTATGCTAATTTGTTTAGTAGGCCAGTGTTTTTGATAACTATTAACATCATTAAACTTGAGTATAATCATTTATTAGTAAAGACATTTTATCAAAAACCTCATCTAAAATACAACTTGTTGTTTATTATTCGTGGTTAAATCAATGGTAGCTATTTGGCAAAGGCTCAGATTTATCCCTGTTCAGTTGTTTTTAATAGTAGTTGATTTATATGCATGCCCAAACCTCTGCCACATGTGTGCATGTATGTTTACTAACTGCAGCCATATGCACTTAAGCACAGAGTTATTGGTGGTAAATGAAGCCTAAAACATGAAATATATATATAATTATTAAAGAGCAAATAGTATTTAAAAAAATAACTTGTTCTAGAACAGGGACATTAGAATATAGCTTTTATTGCTTTTCATTTCACATGAACAAGGTTCCTGCATAGATCTGTTGTTTGCAGGTTTTTTCCTTCTTGCCTTATCTTCTCTTTAATGGGCATAAATGAATGAACACATTGTTTGCCTCATGCTCTCCTCCCACTCGGAGACAGGTAGCTCTCCAAACAACATTGAAGCTCCTGAATATGTCAGTGAGAGAGCTTTGGTTGCTTTGTTTAATTTTTCTGTTTGTATAAGTAAACAAAGGACATAATGGCATACAATATGGTATATAAAATGGTATATAATATAACATGATATACCGTGTTCAGCATTGAGTGTTTGCATGTGTACATGCACTAGCTCTGTGGACAGCACCCCATTTATGATGCTGATTTTATTTTAGACAATCCATGGACACAAGGGACCGATCACTGCAGTGGCCTTTGCTCCTGATGGACGCTATCTTGCCACCTACTCCAACACTGACAGCCACATTTCCTTCTGGCAGGTAAGCATAGATGGGCTGGGTCTTGGAGTTCCCAGCATGACAGGCTTTTGCTGGGAAAGCCTTCCCGTGGAGCCTGCCTGCCAGCCTGCCACCCCCCTTCTGCCCCCTCTCCCTTCTTCCAGCTAATATCAAGTATTTATTACTCACTGACTCCATGTCAGGTGCACACATGCAGGGTCTACTGAGAATACAATTAGCGGTCTGGGAAGGCAGAGAGAGCCTGCTCTCACAGCTTTCAGACTGAGGGAAACGCAGGTAAATTAGCAAGTAGTTATAATCTGGAGGGCACTGGAGAATAAGGCGGTGGGGATGGCTTCACGAGGAAGTGACATCTAAGCCTCTGAGCCAAGATGTGAAGATGTGATGCTGCTGAAGAATGGGGGGGTGGGGAGGGGGGAGGGTATTTAAGGAGAGGGAGCAGCTGATCAGAGGTAAACAAGGGCCTGGCCTGAAAGGGCATGGGTAGGGGAAGCTCAGCTCAGGGTGTTAATTTCCACAGGGCATTGGGCATGGGGCAAACCACCTCATGTGAACTCCATCTCCCTTTTTTTTTAATTATTATCTCAGTTTTGTTTGCATTCTAAATTTCCCACAAAATGCTCTTCGTTCCCAAACTATCAAAAGATATCTAAAGGGCCTTCCTGGTGGTGCAAGGAGTTAAGGCACAACCTATGAAGCTGCCTGCAGCCACTGCAGCACGAGTTCGATCCCCCGCCAGGGAGACATCCACATGGTGCAGCAGACTTCCCCTGCTGCTCCTCTCAGCGGTGTATTTCAGTCATTCTGCTGTTCATTTCCCTACTCTGTCTCTTATGAGTACTCTGGCCTGGACCCTGTTCTTGTATGCATAAATAAATAAATCTTTAAAAAAAAAAAAAGATATCTAAAAATGCAAGTATCGTTAACTGGGACTTCATGAGAGTGCCAATGTTAGGTTGTTTAAAATTAATACTAATTTTGAGCTACCAATTTTATAGAACTTGTTTTAGCCTTAGTGATTAATCTCATTCTATCTTTTTATTTACTCTTAATAATTACAAAAAATTAAACATTACCATTCCCCCCCAAAAAAAGTTGATTTAAGTATTTATTTTTGTGGCCTTTACTTTCCTAAGATGCAAGAATGTTTTATGAGCTACAGTTTATTGCTTACTGAGCTAAAAAAATAAATAAATAAATAAAAGTTTAAACAAGACTTCAGCCAACTTGATGATGGTTTCTAAAAAAATCAATAGCTAATAAAATGTAAAACAGATACAATAAATTGCTTAATTAACAACTTGCTATTAAAGCATGACAACTTCCAAATCTGTCACCGACTTTTGCTACTCTTCATCTAATTTAGTTTTCCAGTTTATGTGCTCATTATCCTTTTTTCCAGAATATATCTCAGGCATCTTAATTAGCTCATAATAAACTCTTTTTGTCCAAGGGCTCACCCTGTCTTTGGTTCTCCCAGTGGGTAACCACAACACTACACGTCACACACTGAGGTCCCACAGGAGTCCACTAGGTGTCCATAAACTGGACTCTTACAGACGGGTACACATTCCCTACCAAAGAGTTTCCCTACCAAATGATTTTTTCACTCATGCCTAATATTGAAATCCCTGTTACACCAATGGTACAAATCTTCCCTTACCTCCTCTTCTCTGGACATCCCAGGGAAGTGTTCATGGAAAGCCACACTGGGTGTAGAAGTGCCAGGTGCCCACCCAGACCCCACTCCCCCGGAGCTTGTGTTTTTCCTATGCTTTCTCTTTTGGCATAAACAAAACGAATCTCCTTTTTTTTCCCCCTTGTTTGCTAATTACATCTAATTCCTTATATAAATGAATCCTTCATAAATTAGCCACATTTGAAACTTTCCAATACTTCCCTGGATTTCAAAGTGGTAAACCTTTTCCCTCTTATCTAGATGTTCAAGTTTCTGTTTGAGTATGTTCATCCCTTCTTGAATATTTTCCTGTTTCTGTCCAAGTTTCCACCCAGCTCATGGATGGAATTATGGTTAGCCTCTTTTCTTACTCTGGAGCTCAAAATCATTCATTAGATGGTATCGTTCTGAGATATCCTTTTTTCACCTTTAGTCCTATCGTTCAGGCTCCTGCTATTGTCTCTGGTCTTTGCCAAGTACACTTAAACCCACTGGCCTGTGCATGTTGCTGTGCACACAGTGGGGCTGTACTAGCCCTTACTCCATAACCCCATCTACTGCAGGGGCTGCGTTCACCAGACGGAGCACCAAAGCCCCTCAGGCAACACCCAAGTCTTTCTGACCTCTAAGCCCAATGCCAGAATTTAAAATGCACCTCATTACTTAAATGCTTACATTATAAGCAGCTTGGTCTTGAAATTTAAGTGGAAGGCACAGAAGCATCATCTGTTTTATCAAGGAAAGATAGTAAAACCTCTTTCAGAAGGATACTGGGTTTTTATTTGAATTCAAGTCCAAAAATCCATATTGGCTCTCCACCACCCTCCCCAAACAGCCTTATCTGATTTATTTAAATACATAGTGTTTAGTTCTAATGATGTATGATAATACTTTTATATTATTCCAGTAAATGTACTGTAATATATTTTGAGAATGTAATGAAGTCTTATTTATACAGAACCTTACAAAAGCTATCAGCTATTAAAATCCTTGATGAGAAATGAGTGTTAATGAGAAGTATTGGTTGGGTAATTACTCAACTGAGACTTAGTCAAAGGTTTATGTGCAACATTACTTAAACTGAGAATAGCATTAAAACACTTCTTGATTTGATGAATTACATTTGTATGTATTTCTGTGTGTTCAGAAAGTAATCTTCACAGAACTGGTTCTGTGAAACATTATTTTTAAAGGAAAGGGTAAGCTGTATCTGCATTTTAGTTAGTTTACATCCTCAACTTTCAGGTGATGTAATTTAGCAATCTTTCAAGTCCTTGGATTCGCCAACCTCATATTCCTCAATTGAATATTCACTTCAGTATATACACTGGCATTTGAGCAAGGAGGTTTTTATTACTGAACTGCATCCACAGTTCTCTCACCTAAACTTTACTATTATCCTCCCACAAATACATATTTTCTTTCAGAAATGCTAATAATAAATTAAATAGACATCGGTTTCCAACATCTATTTTATTTATTCAATCATACAAGTGAGTACTATTCAGTCCTCTAAAAGGAAGATGTAAATCTATAGACATTAACACTTAAATGAAAAAAAAAAAAAAACCAAACAGATTATGAAACTGTCCCTTAATATGAGCCTGTGATTTTAAAATTCCTTAAAGCTGTTCTCCTTATGTGTTTGTATACTTGGAGGTCTGGACAGGTGGTTCCCAAAATATTATTCATAATCTCTGGGAAGTGAGATTGCATGGAGTTTTTGCTTTCTTTATTTTAATTTTCAACAATGAGTATTGCCTTTGTGATCGAGAAAAAGTTAATGTTAGGAGATATTATAATCATTGTAATCACATATGTAATTACTTTATTGCATATATAATTATAGGTGATTTCATTGATTCAAGCCTCAAATTGCCCTTACTTTCACATAATTTGTAGCCAGTCACTGACAAGAAAATATTAATATTAAATAACAAAATGTTTGATTGTTTTGATGTGACTTCTTAAGAGCTTTCTGAAAAAATTAGTACTTGGAATTCACCTCTGAGTTGAAGAGGTTATAGGCAAAGAATAGTCTGAGGAGCAACAAATTATAGTTAACATGGGAGTCTTCATTGTTCAGCTCCACGCACTATTACAATTATGCACTCAGAGAATTTCACATAGTCCTGTTAGGAAGCAGGGAGGCCGTTTGCCCTGAGCAAGAAGGCATTCGTTACTGTATCAGATGATTTACCAGTCAGCTGAGGGATAAAGACTCAGCCTGTAAGAGGGACCCGGGTACCATAATAGACGTGTTTTTGAAATCTTTCCACCTGTAACATTCCAATGAGATATTCTCCCCCTGCCCCTCTTAGCCCTCAACCCATTTCTTAGCCTGTGTAGCTAAATTTGAAGGCATAAGGGGTGCTCCAAGCATTTTGAGCCACCAGCAAAAATCAGGCTCCATACATATTTTCACAGAAAATCCATAAAGAATAGAAACGGGAAAAATGAGATTTTTTTTTTTTTTAAGAGCACAGGATGCCTATAAATGCCAGTTCTTTATAAACAGCAATTTTCAGGATCGTTTGGATGGATTCTGAGGGAGGATTAAGTTATTACATACCGTTACTTTTTGTACCATTAAGAGCTATGAAATCAAACTCTCCATCCTTATTTACATTTCAACTATTTGGGAAACTCAGGAAGCAATAAGGCCTTGATTTTTATCTTTTATGGAGTTTGGGGGAGGGAGGGAGGGAAGGTAGAAGGATGACAGTGAGGTCCTTACTGCCGGGCTTTAAATGTTAGCTGAACTTTAACAGAAAGAGTTAATGATAACCATACATTTGGTTTTAAAATGTGACCTCGTACACTAGTGATTTTTTTTCACCTCAGTGTTGTGTTCGGCACTATTATTAATGCAGGAAAATCAGTAACATTAGTCATCTTAAAAGGGTTATTACTCAAGATGATTTAAATTGTGAAAATGTCAGTGGGGCCTGCATGCATCCTGCTCCGGATGCCATGATTTACGCCCTCTGACACCATCCCGCTGCTGAGCGGGGCCAGGAGCGGAGCGGCGCGCGCTCTGCACTGATCCAAATGCAGAACGTGGTATCAGCAACGGCCCCTCTTAAATGTCCTAGGGTTTGCCAAGGTTTCATATGTCAAGCATTTGTGTACATCGGATTGTAATCTGCATGCTTCACACAGGTCCCCAGATCATACACATGTAGGTGGAGGTTTTACTGGAGGGAAGAATTGGGAATGAAAATTGGTGCAAAGGAAAATGTTATCCCTGAGACCTCTTTCCAAATGTGCAGCGAGCACGCAGGGGGCCCACAGCAGCACGGCAGATGTGGAGAGAGAGAACGCTAAGTAGTAGTCCTGCCCCACGGGGCCCTCTGGCTCAGTCACTTGGATGACAGTTCTCACTCAGTGTCTTGTACTTTGACCCAAATGCTTCATGAGCCAGAACATCCATGTTATCATGCATTATGGGAGAGGATTAAGCGAACTTAAAATTTAAATCAAATCCAGAGACACTATCAACATGCAGAAACTTCTGCCAGATAGAAATGCACAGTAAGTTGAAGTGTGCTCCCGTCCCCAGACAGCAAAACAGCACACCCCAGACTCAGGGCACAAGATGCCTACAAATGCCAGATTGCAGCTGATTTTAGAGTTTTCCAGAGACTGATTTTTTTTTTTTTAAGCAGATGAGGAGTGAAGGTGTTGGCAGGGGGAGGTGGGTGTCGCGGGGTATGTTTTGAGCTTTGATTCAGTAACCGATCACTCTAGCTACTGCTTAACGTGCCTCGTTTTCTTGAACTCATGAAAATTCCCAAAGCTTGTCTTCATGGCGTCATCCTTCAGGGGCTGCAGTAGGCGCTGCTGTAAGAACCAGAAGGCCTGCCCCTAGAAATACCCGCAATTGCCCGATATCTTCTCACTGACTCATCTTATTAACATCCATAACTTAGCTCCCTTCTGAAAGATCGATGGCCTTTCCTGTTGTCAAGTTCTGCCCAAGTACCATTTCTCTGGATTGAGGCATTTCCTGTCACAGCACCCCAACACTCTGCGGCTCCGCTGAAAGCCACCCTTTAGAGGTTGAAGAAGAGACTGTTAGATGCCCAGAGCGAGCACTGTGGAGGAGACAGAGACCGCAAGCGGGTGGCACTTGCCTCTCTCTGCGGGGTGGGGAAGGATGGGTGAGGTCTCCAGTGACGATGCCCCCTGTCTCTGTCCGCAGATGAACACCTCGCTGTTGGGGAGCATCGGCATGCTCAACTCGGCCCCGCAGCTGCGCTGCATCAAGACCTACCAGGTGCCCCCGGTGCAGCCGGCCTCCCCTGGCTCGCACAACGCGCTGCGCCTGGCCCGGCTCATCTGGACCTCCAACCGCAATGTCATCCTGATGGCGCACGACGGCAAGGAGCACCGCTTCATGGTCTGACGCGGCCTCATCTCACAGTCCTCTTGCCGGGTCGCCACCGGTCCTCGCTCTGCCTCTGCCGCAGCGCCCACCCTGTGTCCTCCAGGCGCGGCTGGCGCTGTCCCTTCTGCAAAGTTCCCGGGCGGCTCCTGCTCGTGCCACCTGCTCATTCCAAGGCGTGCACCCCCCCTGCAGGATGCGGCCTGTGTCTCTTGGTCGCTTTTCCCCCCTTCTGCAGGTAGGGGCGGCGATGGTCCCTGCGAGCCAGTGCTAGTGTGGCCTGGGGCGCCAGAAGCCCCCAAATCAATAAACACTGTGATCGCATTTCCCCGCCCAGATGAGCGTTTTCCTCCAGCTAAAGGCCACCTCTGAAGTGCTTGAACCTAGTCGTGTGACCGTGGGTTTTGGAATATTGGGGCGGTCCCAATTACTGGAAATTACTTTCCTTTGACTAGCTACTGTTGTTTACCAAAAGGATTGTGTTTACGTGGGTTTTCTTTTCTTTTTTTTTTTTTCTTTCTCCTTCTGGTGAATGCTAGTAAGTAACTTATTCCATCCAATTTCCCCAGGGCTCAGACACTACCCTCTTTATTAACATTTACTCAATTTGAGACTGATGAGAAAATCTCCAAAAAAAATATTTTCGCCTTGCGGAGAATACAGTTTTTCAGTCACCTGACCTTCTAAAATGCTCATATCCTGCTTAAGTGATCGTGTACTTAGTAGTTTTTTTTTTTTTTAAAAAAAATCACTACTTGTGATGTAGTTAATAAGATTATCCAATAACTCCGACCTTTTGAAAAGGAATTCTGTAATAACCAATTTCAGGTGTACAGCTTAGACGTAAAAAGACTTGTGTGTCTATTGCTTACAGACCTTTGTGTTTCAGAAAGCTCTTACCCGGTCCCTCCAGAAACCACATATCCACAGTTCCCATATGGACACGCGGTCAGTTATCATGTAATAGTTACGATTCAGCCTTCAAACTACTTACTACTGACCAATTAAAGCAAAACTATGACAGCGTTAAGTTTAAACAAATATTCTAGAAAATTAGGAACTTTGGCACAAGCATTCAGGAGTAAATATAAAAAATACGAGAGCTCTCAGTCAGTTAAGCAAACACTGCAATGAGGGTGTTCATCCCACTTCAAAGTAAGCTTTAACTAGATAGTCTTCTTCTGGCAAGTGATGCTGGTTCTTCGTCCTAGTCGTGGAAAAGAATCCATAAAGTAATATCTGGTAGACATTGAGCCTCACAAACCTTGACCTGTATTTAGTTGGGGATTTGTTTGCTCGGTTGGGTGTTGACTGATGGGGTCAGTTGGGCAAAATGGTTTATTAAGTGCAAACACAGAAAATGATTTATTAAACTCAGAGAAAATAAGAAGTTTCAAAGGAACCAAAAATAACGGGAGCATTTAATTTTAAAAGCATAGATTGTCAGAATTTATGTAATATCCCCCCCAAAAGTAGGATCACCGTCCAGGAACAAATACATCTGTTATTTTACTGAAACAGATTTTTAAAAAACATGTTAAGAAATTAAGATCATTAGAACGACTCTTTCGTATTGATATGAAGTATATTATTTCCACTGATGGCAAACCTGTATTATTCCTTGGTTTTAGACTCTGGGTGTTCTTCAAAAAGTGAACTTATGCCATTTGCATGTACATTGTATTTATAAAGATTCTCTCTGTAGTGTGCAGGAAGAACAAAGAACTATACAGTTTAGGCTTTGTTTGTTTGGTGAGCACAGTGTCGTGTTCGGTATTGATGCAGCAACCTGAAAAAAACTACAGTGTGCTTGGTTTTTCCAGTGGGTTCCCCAGTCTTCTTGCAACTCAGCACATGTCTACTCTCTGATGCTAAATTGGGGTTAATTTCTCCTAGACTACAAAGCTGTTTTGGAATGATGAAGTAAAGGTATACCTTAGAGTTGTTGTGGGGTGTTGTTTTTTTTTTTCACGTCCCATTCCCCAGGGGACAGATGTGAGACTAACAGATGGGGCACCCCAGCTGCCCAGGCAGCACCCAACACAAAGATTTACAGCAAGGCTCTAAGGCAGGATGGGGACTGAAACTCCTGGACAACAGCAGAGGCCCCCCCTCCCTCATAGATTCTGTCTGCACAACCAAAATTAGAATATTCCAGTTGTAAAACTCGGGTAGATGATATTTGATGGTTAAAAGTAATATTTGCATCTTATTAACACAGGTCTTTCCTTGGCTATTTTGACAGCCACAGTTCCAAATTTCATCACAGCTTAGATTTCTCAGCACTGAGGTAAACTTTGAATTGTCATTCGAGTGTACAGTTTTAGTGTTTTATTGATTTTGCTGGCCTGTATTTGGACCTGTCCTTGTAAATGTAGAGACATATGTGGCTTCCTTGGTAATTTACAAGCAAAAGATGACTTGATGTGACACCCGTATGAAAATGTAATGATTGAAACTCACTATGTACAGCAAATGAATTAAAATGTCTGCCTCTCAAGACATTCCTCGATGATTCCAGTTAATAGATTCTCTATGTGCTGAATGTCCCTGTGTACATATGTGTGTTAAATAAAACTCAATTGTAATGAAGATTGTTTTTCTCACAAAAACATTGCTCATTTTTCTTAAGCATTTCTTAGTCAAAATCCATATGCCTTCCACCCTCCCCTTTTGAAAGGTACCAGATTAAGCTTTCTATTTCTCGTTCTTCATTTCCCTGGAGAACTAGCTTCGGGAAAGGCAAACTTGCTCACAGAGGACAGCAGAGCTGTAGAGAAGGAAGTCCCTCTAGAACACTGCCCAAGTGTGAGAACCAGAGATGTTTTCCTACCAGTAACTCAACAGCACCCTCTGTAGTTTGGGCAAGGGAATTGTGTGCATGTTGCTTTTTATCTACCCTTATGTACCAAATTATATCTTGTCAGATTTGATGACAAGGGTTGGCCACTGGGATGGGGAGGCTGGGCTGAGATAATTAAATTCATTTCATTTAATACTTGGTTTGGAGTTGAATTTAAATCCCCGAAGTAAAGGGTATAATTGGTTTTCAGGAAAAAACAAAATAGGCCATCATTGCTCACTGAGGGTTATATGTGTAAGAGTGAATGTACTTTTTTAATTTTCAGATAAGCAGAACAGGATGAACTGACACGGCCATCAGGTGACAATTTAATCTTTAAGAATGTGGTAAACATCAGAGTTGACTGCAACATCTTTGGCCTTATTCAAATGCCCAGTGTCCATCCCAGGAATTGTTTGAACATCTGATGACATAAATGTATCCTTATAGGGAACATTACAAAGAGGGGCAGTAACAGTTCTATGTGATTGGTGATCACATAAACTGATCAAATGTGGAAAGGGCATGACATTAATAGGAAGGTAAAGCCAAGCAGTGCTGGGTGAACTTTCACCTTTCACCCCTTCGGCTGACTGACAGAGCTGAGTGTTGAAGAAAATCAATACTTTGGAGCCAGGAGGGAAATATTTCCAACCTCTAACTAGAGAATGTATTTTGACAAGGCCAAGATAATCCAAGCTGCATGGGAGAAAGAGAAAAGAAGACTCATTTTTAAAGCTTGACACTTCAAGGTGTTTTTGTACAATGGTTTAGAGATCGTCAATATGTACAAATACCAAAGGTCAAAAAGAAAAGCCAGAAGAATTTCAAAAATTAGATGTTCAGTTCTTTTTGCTGTTTACAAACTGAAAAGGAGTACGATGAGTTTTGTGTTTGTATTATTTAAATGCATCTAGCTCACAATTATGTGCTTTGAGGTAATCATCCCTCTTTAATCAAACCTGAAATTTAATTGAGGCAGCGGTATGAATATTGATTGCCTGAAAGGTGTTCAGATCACTTCCTGTTCATTTTGGGGGAGACCTGAGTTTTTTTTTTGAGTGGTTTCCTCGTTTTATGCTAACATTTAAAAATCTTGGTTTTTGATTCATGTTGGTCCTGCCATGGTGGCCTCATAAATCTGACACTGTTCTTCACATTTGGTTCAATCATTTGCATGAGAAAAGAGTTCATGTACCTTTGGAACTCGAATTGTTCTAGTTTCCCAGATCCCTTTAAGCAAATTACTTATAAAAGTATTCTAATTAGTGTTCTAAGTAAGAAGTATATGCACCTCTGGGAAGAAGGTAAGCAATTCACTCTTCCCAGCAAGATTAGAGCCATTCATTCTGTGGACAGATACCTCCATCAAACAGATAGAGATTCTTTTCTTTCCTACAGATAAGAAAGGGTAGAAATGCAATGCCGCCCATACCTTCCAGCCAAGCTCAGGACAAAGGAATCTGAGTACTCTTACTCTCTAAAGTAAACCTCTATTTTCTCATGGATGTGCATTATCAGGCCTGCTGTGTATATATGCTATATTGACAGTGAAAATATAGCTTCATTTATATATCCTCTTACTCATTATAAAATTCCATTCTAGTCCCAGAAGAGAGCCGTGGCTGGAAATTTTTTGTTTTGTTTTAAAAAGAGAAGACACCAGTCAAGACTCCTTAATATTCTGAGATTTCCCAGAGAAATTCAGGATGCTAGCACATGCCTGCTTTGTAGTGGATATGTTTTACATTTGTTGAATCCATGAGATTATGCCTGTGAAATGCTTGCAAGAAATAAGCACTTGGTAAATGTGGGCTAATACTTTTAGTAGATTAGAAGTCCTTACTGAGCACGGATAAATGATATTATAAATGACGTGTGTTCTTTGGAAGGCATTGTTGGATTTTTGTTTGCTCTTGTGTTTTTATCTCTCTCTAGACTTTGATAATAGGTCTGGACATCTCACCTGAAGAGGAGCTTGTATGGTCTACCTGCATTCACCACGCTCTTCAATATGTTGTTATGCATTTCCATCTTGCTTCTCACCAAAATTTGTTGGCAATGAGTAAATACCAAAATATATGCCAGTTGATGGAACTGGTTGATTCTAGCTATTGAAGTTGTGACTGATTCCTCAAAAAGTAATTCACTCATTAGATTTAGGACTTATTAGCATCAGGAACCACTTTGAGTTCCTTATGTATCTTCTCAATATACTTCTATCAAGATTTAATAAGACTCTAGACAAAGTATCATAGTTGAATAAAATCACCAAAACAAAAACAATGTGTAAGTTCTGTTGCCAATATCTTCTTGTTTTGACTAATGTCAAACTGATTTAGCACTCCACTTTACCCAAATGTGAAATGTATTGTCTAAAATTTGACATATCCAGAGACACCTTGTTTTAGGAAAATTTTACGAATAATTTAAAAAACACTGCACTGAAACATTTTTATTGAGTCTACAAGCATTTATTGAATCTTGATATATGCCAAGCATATGATCTGTATTCTATTTTCCTCTTGCTAATGAGCTCACAATCTAACAAAGGAGTGAAACACTATGGAACCAGTGCTAAAAACAAATGGAAACACAAGGAGTGATTAATTCCATTAGGGTGGTGTCAAGTTGGGCTTCGAAGAGGGAAGCATTTTGGCTGGACCTTGACGAATAAGTGGGCCTTAAGGAGAATAGAAGGGACATTAGGGGGTAGGAATATATGAAAGCCCAAATTATGATGTGATCTGAATGGATATAAACTACTTCAAACCTTCAACCTGAAGGGCATTGGGCACCACTGAGAATCCATGTGGCTCTCCATATTCAGAACCTCCTACCATTACAGAAAATAAGATTCCTTGGCCAAAGAACACTTGAAGTCCACAAGGCAAAAATTCATTATAAGTCCTAATAAAAGGACTTTCAAAATAAAATCTTTAAAAAAAATCATCCAAAGCCCTAATGAAAGATTTCTTTGACTTTTATTATTTCAGCTTTCATTTTCATTTTTTAAAAAAGCTCTTTTTGCCTTAAAAATAATTTATATGTCTTCATCCTGTATTCTGTATATAGATGGCATGGTGTGTTGGATGCCTGCCACACATGCTGCCCAGAGTTCCACCCTTCAAATTCCACCCCAGGACATTCTCCCAGCTGCTGTGAGTGTTGGCATCTAGTAGTTCTCTGCTGAGTCCTTTTCTGGAAGTTGCCTCACAGTCAGAAAGTCGTCTTACCAAACTCCCTCTCTTGGAGGTGAACGCATCCCATGATGGACAAGGGAGGAGGTATAAAGCCTAGCCCCTAGCTCCATTTCAGAAAACTCTGGAGGGCCATGCCAGCTCCAGATCTCCCCATAGTATTGTCTGAAGCCTTCATTGAGCTGCATCGCAGTAAACTTCTCTCTAGACCCAGCCCTGCTCACTTCCCTATAGACGTTGGTCCCGAGAACTCTGCTCCATAGACTTCCTATATGCAGAGCTCACAGTCTGCATCCCAGAGAACCCAACCTGTGACTGTTGGTACTAGGAGTGGCCCAAGAAAATTGGATCTAAAAATGGGATTTGGAAAAACAGAATGGAGGTTTTTCAAAAGATTAAAAATGGACCTGCCATATGACTAGCAATTTTACTCCTACTCTACTATCCAAAGAATACAAGAACACTAATTCAAAGGGAAGCATGCACTTCCATATTCGTTTCAGCACTATTTACAATAAGCAAGGTATGGAAACAACCTACATGCCCAAAGACAGATGAGTAGATTAATATGTGGTATATACACACAATGGAATACTACTCAGCAATCAAAAAGATAAACTCTTGCCATTTGTGGCAACATGGATGAAACTGAAGGGGGCTCTCTTAATGAAATAAATCGGAAAGATCGAGACAAATGCCAGAAGGTGTCATTTATATGTGGACTATAGAGAAACCAAGCAAAGGGTCAGATAAAGCCCAACTAAGAACTAACCCTGGAAAGCTCACTATAGAACTGAAGTATTGGGGGGCAGGGGCAGGAGCAAGAACTAAGTGAGAAAGCTTTGGTTGTGGGTGCTATATGGTAATAGCATCTGAGGGGGGTAGAGCCTATATTTCTAAAACACAAAAATTATGTAAAGCAATGTCATCTCAATTTTTTTAAGTCTGTCTGCCCCTCATTAGCTAAGTAACTCTCCTGGTGCCTCGGTTTCCTCATCTGCAAGGTGGGAGTAATCATCACGATCATGGTCTTGAGAATGATCATGGTCTTGAAATAAGGATTAAAAGAGAAATGAGTTAATATGTATAAGAGCACTTAGAACAGTGGCACAGAATGAATATTCGATAAGTGCTAATTCTGTTTATTATTAGCATCCTAAGATATAATTATGAGAATTTTTTTTTAGGTCTTCTGCTTCATTTCTTGCTTCTGTGTTATGGGGAAATATGTTTTTTCAATTAAGTTTTTTTTCCCTCTGTTTTATTCCTTTCTTCAACCTGAATCGAAGTTCTCACTTTTAAAAAGTGAGGAGAAAGGGGTGCAAAGGAACTGACATTCCTGAATACTTATTATGTGCCCAGTACTATGCGAGTGGCATCTGCTTAATTCTTAATCATAAAAGCCTTGCATTATTATCTCCCCTTTACAGATGAAAAAAATGCAGGTCACAGGAAGAGAAAAGAACAAAATCACAAACTAATCAAGGGCATATCTAGTATTTGAATCCCAGGCTTCGTTGCCAAAGCCAAACCTCCTCTGCCCTTCCAGGTCCCCTCAGACAGCAGGAGCCAGAGATCATCTTCTAGAAGCAGAAAGAAATGTGACAGAACAGAAAGCGTTTGGCTCACTTAAACCATCATTTTTCTTTTCCTTTGGATTTATGGCCATTGTGCCAAATTTTAAAAGGAAGGAAATTATGCTGATCTTCAGTTGTGAATAATATCACTATTTTAATGTGAAATGATTGAGTTAAAATGTGTGGGCTTTAAAATGTGCTGCATCGCACAGAGTGATTTTGTTGGAACTCAAGAACCAGTGTTTTCTCTTATGAAATGAATATCTTTGGGAAAATAGAATTTGAGTTCCAGAAATGGGCCCTCATTCATCGATTTTTCAACAGCATTTGGTCGGAGCTGCTGGTCAGTCCCTGACCTGCTCTCTCCTTGCCTTCCTGG